AATCTCGACTCCCTCATTTCTTAATATGCATCAGCCTAGTTTTGCTCTAATTCTGACAATTCTTGGAAAGTGAAAATGAAAAGTGGAGGAACTTCCAGAGCCCGAGGAGACGCTGCAGTTCCTGGAAATATTTTGTGGAAAGAGCTAATGGAGAAGGGAAATAAGCTCTTCCTGGATTAAATGTTTTTCTGCAGGAATGATAAAGTAAGTTGGCATGTTTGGATGCTTCAAAGAAGAAAACTGGCTCTCTGACGTCTGTATGAATGTGTGTGTTGCCACGTACAGAATAGAAAAGGTGTTTGGAGGACAGTGCAAAATCTCCAACAGAGGAAAATCTCGTCGTAGCACATCGTTCAGATTGTTGTCAGACTTCAGGCACTGTGGATTATGGTATTACCTGCTCTGCTAACATCAGGAAATGTTTCATCAAGAACATGTATTTTAATGACAATGACATCAGTGAAACAAACAGCACCGTGGGGCAGCTGCTGTTGTGATTGTGTGCTATATGAATAAAATTGAATTGAAATTAGAGGCCCTCGTTGGTTTGGTCATGATAACAAACAAGCGTCTGCTGCCACAGCTCAGCTTCATCTGATGTTTCACTTCGATCGTCCACAAAAACCCAGCAAATGACCAACTTGGTCTCCTTCAAGCCTGCATGTGCAGCTCTTACCTTTGCAGTGTCCATGACAGGGATCTAACCCTCACATACTCATCAATGTGAAACACGGCGATGTGGACCCAAACCAACACAGCAGGCACTACTGTTTTTTCCTTTAATCTGTCAATCTTTATGATAATGGGAACATAGCAGGAAGTGTCAAGTTTACAGTTATTACAGTGAATTAAAAAAAAGGAAAACTGGGTATTTAAAATGATTTTGGTTGACTGACATAAACACAAAAACTGAATGAATGAACTGAAAGAATTTTGTTTTCTTACAAAAGCAAAAGAACATAAAAAAAAACAAGAAAATATCTAAAATATCTTTGACCCTTCAGTCAAAGGTCAGATTTGTCATTACATCCTGTCTGATGGAGCAGCTGTTACTGTTTTATTTTTTTCTTATCTGTGTTTTTCTTCTCTTTGTGTGTGTGTGTGTGT